TAGTGTTTTAGCGACTGTGAAAGAATAGATGTCGATCCAGCATGTGCGAGGCATGTCTGCGTACGCTCAAAACGCTAGAATGATATCTTTCGTAGTCGTTAAAATGCTCGCGCACTCTCAAAACGCTGCCATACGCTCAGAACGCCGACGCAAAGAATAAACGCAGCTTAGCGATTAGAGGGAAGGTCAGAAAAGAAAACAATCAATAGTTAGGGTAGCTGGTGAAGGGGACAGCGGATGGGCTCAATTTTTGATATCCAGTTCCTCATTGAAGCTTCTCCAGCTTGATTTTTAAATTGTCCGGGTGATATAGGACTAAAATGAGGAAACGGCGATGGATGCAAACTGCTGCCTGCTCTCCCTTCGCCGTGAATTTGTAGTCGGAGTTTTCACTTTGTAGTATCAGAGCAAGGGAAAAGAAGAGCATGGTTTCTATTGCATAGCACTTTGCTTACCTAACATTTTTTGTCCTCAATTCCTCAAAATAGGGTTGCTGTCCTCAAAGATGAAATTGCCCTTTGTGATACGATTATTGGTTCTCGTCCTGCTTATTTCCACTCGAATATTTGTACTGTTTTGCTCTCACGTAGCAGTTGTCCCATCTTTCTTAGTTCTAGCAGATCACCGTTATACAGCCATGTTCCAGACGATGACGCAACATGGATATTGGTTCGTTATGGGGGATATGCAGAATCTGTTAGCTCATTCTTCATTAGCTATAAATACTGTTCTTCATCCAACAGCATTTTCTCATACTTATGTGACCCTTCTGAAAAGGATGCAAGGTTCATGAGTTGAAGTTTTATCTGTCTTTCACTTTTTATATAGGTTTCTGTTCGACGGTAGTTTGAACATGTGTTCTGTTTAGGAATGAATGTTAACTGGCGGATCATTCGTGGCGAACATCGAGAAAACGACAACACTGATCTCGTTCAGCGGTAAGCGTTTGTTGAGCACTGCTTTCTCTCATCAATAAGACCCCATCGCGTGTCACATTAAATTCTCTCTACCAGAGAATGTGAACTGCGTTTTGAGCCATATATTTGTCACGAAATATGCGGTAGTATTTTTGCTGCAGGATCCTTGGACAGTTTATAACGTGCATCATGTGCGGTCGCTTTTCTGCTGTAAGATATGTCCACTTACTGTGCAGACGCCTTCTCTGTAGAAGGTAGTGCGTTCAAATACGTGGTAAGAAGCTACCCGTCTATGATGAAGACCCACTGCCTCATGCTGCGCCCGACGTTCATTTCTAAAGGCTTCCTGGTGCTGCGCCTTTTCCGCTACTGACTCTGTGTTTTGATTGTGAGTTGATAGGTGAAACGAGCTGAGAATTGTTATGGTACTAGCAAGCGAGAAAGTTGTCCAGGCACCCCTTCTCTTCGATGCATATTCTTGTAATCACTATTTGTCAGGGGCATTTCGGACGGCTTTTTTCTCTTGATTTTTTTTCACCACTCACTTGCTTCCACCTTGCCATTAGTATTCCAACTCCACAACCCGCCTATTTCTTTACGAGTTATGTTCCTTTATGACACAAATGAAGGGACTTACTTGTTGAGGCTAACTGAAATAAACATCTTCCATTTTGAAAGATAAGGGCGTAAACCCATACTGAATTGATTGGTGCGGTGAAGAGATTGGTGTGCAAAAGCGAAGAGTGAGGTAGTAAGAGTCTCGCCGAAATCATAGAGAGGGGCACTAATCGCGAGCGAACCTACTACCGAGAAAATACCTATGTGAAAATTTTCTAAGAAGGGATGTTTTTTCAAGACCGAAGAAGATAAGAACCCTGAATATTGAAGCTTGAGCTGGTATGAAGA